CTGGCCGCCGCTCCTCCCGCTGCCACGGCCGGGCTCCGCGCGGGGGATTCGCGTCCCACCGCCACTTCCCCGCCTCTCGGAGCTCCTGGGAAGTTTCTGATCTACTTTCGGCTCCGAAGGAGGAAGAGCTGTTGGGAGGAGCTTTTCACTTCTCGTTTCTACCTTTTTATTGGCTACTCGATGACTTTTACAGCCTGTCACTGATACAGGAAGAGACGGCGGAGAGCCTGGGAGAGCTACATTATTAATTAATGGAGCAACCCCTTGTGAAGAATCAGAAGCATCCTCCATGTTTGAGGTTATCAACCAAAAGATCTAGGGAAAGCGCCGGGGTTTCATAAACACATGGCTGACAAAGTCCTCGAGTCTGGCACCAATGCTTAGCTACACGAGGGGAAAGGGACTCCAGTTACGATTTAAATTGTATTTTAAAGATAGGAAAAGAGAAGAGCAATAAATAAGAATGTTTTTTACATTTTCCTCCAAAATTAGAATTAATATCTCTATAAAGATATTTTGCTTGTGTAAACACGCATCTTGAACAGAAAATATTTTCCTCGATAACCAGTTCTTACTACTTGGGGCAATTTAGTCAAAGATTTCAATTCAATAGCCCAGGGAAGAAAAGTACGTTAGAAAATGTCATCCTTGTAAGACCTCGACATATTTATTTAACCGCCCTTTAAAAAGAAATAGTTACACCACTGTGATACTTTGCAAAAGATGAATATTTAATTCAATTAGAATTTTATATTTTGAATTTACTACTAAAATTTCCCCTAGAGCAACTTTTTCGTATTAGCAATTTGAAACCAATTTTAATGTACATGATCTAGATGACAAGTTAGAAAAGAATTTTGGAAACTAGAAGTAGCTCAGTATTAGTTATTAAAATTTCCACACAAATGTTCTTACAAAATGTAAACAGTTCAATGATTATACAATTAAAATTATATTCTATTTCATCAAATACAGTCATAACTCAGTTTTCCCACTACCTTTCTAAAATGTCAATACAATCGAGTTTTCAGAGTTACATATTTCGGGTTTCTTTTAATGACTTGTGCTACTTAATAAATGTTTTACATATTGTTCATTAATTTAGAATAAGTTTAGAAAATTATAATTACATATCCAAGTTTAGTTTCAATTTTTTATAATAATCGTATTGGTAGTTTACCTAAACAGCCTCAGCAAATAACATTCCACACATGTACTACCAAAAGCTTACTTACATAAGGTATTATTCCTGTATTTTGGAATCATGATTACTTCCTTGCTTTATAAATTACCTCTTCTTGGCTTTTGAGAGTGAAAAATTCATTGCTGTATCCAGAATGTAGTTAAAAGATACTGCCATGAAATGTGACGCTGTGTAAAAAAAAATGGAAATATTGTAAAAGAAACAAAGTAGCCCAGAAAAAAGGAGAGTGCCATGCAGTTAAAATCATTCAATTAAAAAAAATTATTTCAACTAAACATTTATCAAGTTTCTTTTAGGTACCAAGACAATGTACTGTCCCATGCAAAGAGGTAAAACAGAAATGTGTCCTTGCCTCATGAAAAGCACAGTATTGTAGGTAAAGAGATGATGAAAACACAACCAACACAGGAATTGAGTCCTAATAATAATGAGTAATGCTGTACAACACAAAACAAGAACTAGAAAAGATGAGAAGAAAATGCAGAAAGCTCTTCCTACAAGAAGTTACCCATGGCATGATTTGAAGGACAACACAAAGCTGTGCTCTAAAATACCTCACCAATCTAAAGATGCTTGGTAAACACAACACTGTAAATGCAAATATGCTAGCCTCACAGGATATATATTAACCTAATATCAAGATGTAGTTTTGATAACTATCTCAATTTTCAGAAGTTATATTGCCTTAGATAGGTTCAAAAGCTTGAGGTAGAACAATATTCTTGTTTTCTATTAACTAACATAAGAGGGTTTTACTGGGGTGGTCTGGTGAGAAAGTAGTCAGAGCTGAAGCAAATCTTTGGAAACTGTTAATTCTTTAATTTTGCATCCAGGAAATTGAGGTTCGGAAGCTAGAATCTAGGCCTCCAGACCAATCTTTTTAGACCACATCATTTGTTTCCTTAAGTTATATTTAATTTTCTTGTATACCCTACTCACACTCTATAAGTGAGCTAAAATACCATTACAAATCCTTCATAAACTGCTAAAGTATGTATAAATATATTTCATTAACCATCAGAAACAATTTTTTTTTGAGAATTATCCAGGAAAGCAATGTGGTAATAAAAATGTTAAATGTGTCTAACCAAACAGGTGACATAAGTCCTACCTCCATGTTCCATTAACACATCTAACAGATTTCATGCCTCTTAGCAATTTTACAAACATATTTAAAGCATAGCTTCCTGAACTTCTCAGAGAAAGATGCCTTATCAATGTACACAAGGAACACCTATGACTTTGTAACTTCCTGACATATCTCTATCTGACACCTGTCTCGACTCTTCCATGTTTTCCTTTTAATATCTTTCTAACAAATTCATGGCATTTTACCTATAAAAAATTTAGAAGCAATGAATTTTTCCTTTGTCTGGAAACCACTGGCCTAGTGTTAGAATAGTGGTTCTAGACCTCAACTGCCCATTAGAAAGACCTCAACTGCCCATTAGAAACACCTCAGGGGGTTTGAAAACTACTGATGCCCTAAGACAACCCCAGACCTCAGGTTTCTAGGGTAGGGACCAAAGCATTGGGAATTTGAAAGTCTACTCAGGTAATAATATACAGCTGAGGCTGAGAACTAACGTGCTTAGAGGAGGCTGAATTGTTGGTATCAAAGTGGTAATGTTGCTAAATTTAGAGTACACCTTTTTATTCAATCTCTTCTGATTAGAATCATGACCTATGAGATAGTAGTAGAAATTGGAAGAATAGTCTATGGTCATCATTACTATGGTAATAGTTTACATTTCATGAATGCTTCCAACTTGTCAAGGGCTTGTGCTAGGGGCTTTGAATCATCTCATCTCATACACTATTTTAATTTCAAACTAAGCAGCACTGGTCATTTCCATTTTATAAATGAAGATACTAAAAGTCAGAGAGATTACTTCAGTAGAATGCCCCAAATCACAATCTGGAAGCAGAAAAGCCCAAATCATAATCTTTATCAACTCCAGAAACACATTCCCTAATACTATTCTGCATTTCCCTATTACTAATTTGTTTTTCTAGCCCAGATAGAAATTGAAACAGGGAACTTGATCCTCTGCACAAAACAATTTAGAATGTGTAATAGTTAAGAACATTTGCTAGTCGTGAAAAGTACTGGAGGAAACCATGGCAGAATTAAAAAAATATATTGGAATGGGAAAAGCCTGACTGTAACATAAACCACAGAATTCACAAAATATGATTCCATAAGATAATTAAAAAGCTCTGATGACAAAATCTACCACAAACAAAATTGAAACAGAATTATTAAATTGGGAAAAAAAGATTTGCAGCTCACTGACAAAAGGGCTAATTTCCCTAACACACAAAGCATTCTTATAATAATCCAAGAAAGCAGAAACAGAAACACATCGGCCTTTAAAACATATGAAAAGATTCTCAACTTCACTGATAATTAGAGAAATGCAGATAAAAACTACACCAAGATGACATTTTCCATCCTTCAGATTAGCAAAGATCACCACCATATTTTGGTAAGTTGTGAAGGAAACAGATACAACCTCTATAAAGAGTAACTTGACATCTCATTTAGTGACTAATTTCTTTATTAACGAAGTAGAAAATGCTAGAATATATTTTTTTCATCTTCTATTTTTCCTGTAGTGTTCAGGCTACAGCCTACTATCAGGTATTATTTAAAATATTATTATAAAGTGTTTGTAAATGGGAAGGGGAGGAGGGGGTGAAGGGAGGGCAGGGACAAGGGGAAAAAATGAGAACCAAGACCACCTCTCATGTAAAGTACAAGATCCCAACAATGAATGTAACTGTACTGTATACCTAAAATGTACCAATAAACTCAATAAAAGAAAAAAAATAAAATATTATTATAAAACAGGTATAATGGTGCACATCTGAAATACCAGCTACACCATTATATTTTCTCTAGTCTAGATGTTTGTCAAAATACCCATCTCTTTATTTCCTTAGCAAAACTATAATCTTTCTTTTTGAGACAAATTTCTCTTTTCAGATGAAAAAGATAAACTTCACTCCATATTACCAGTAAACTGTTTTGCAGTAACTTCTTAGTATCTCCACACCAAATGCCTGGCCTAGGGCCTAGTCTACCTACCAGATCCAACATCTTACCAGGGTCAAGTACAAAACATCAAGCTAGGTATGGTGGCGCACACCTGTAATCCCAGCTCTCTGGGAGGCTGAGGCAGGAAGATGGCAAATTGTAGGCTAACCTGGAGAATTTAGCAAGACCTTGTCTCAAAAAATTAAAGGACTAGGGATGTAGCTCAATGTGAAGGCCCTGGATTTAATCCACAGTGCTCCAGTGAAAAAGAAAATATAAAACATCAAATTGCCCAACATTAAACACCTTTCTTTTCCCATTTCGAACATTCCTCATAAAATGAGGACCACACATTCTAGTGTGACAGGCAGAATAACAGGCCCCTAGGTCCGTCCACATCTGTATGTTATTTTACATAGCGAAAGACCCATGGAGATGTGATTAAGATTAAGGACCTCAAGATGGGGAGATTATCATGCTCTACCCAGGTGGGCCCAACCTAATTCCTTTAATGTGCAGAACGTTTCTCTATGGTTACAAAGAGGAGAGGGTGATTGAAGACAAGGCAGAGAGACATGACATTGCTGGTCAAAAGCCAAGAAATATGGAGATTTCTAGAAGCTGGAAGAGGCAAGAGAACAGATTCTCCCCTACAGGGCTGAAAAGAAACACATCCCCTGCTGCACTTTATTTTGGCCTGGTAAGACCAGTGTTGGATTTCTGATCTAGCACAAAGTCTATGGCAATTTGTAGCAGCAGCAACAGAAAACCAGTAAGTCAGTTTCCAGTCTGAAAATATTCGTACTGTTCATATTCCCCATCTGATTTTCATTGCAATGGTGAGTAATACCTTTGAAACTTAAATGAATGAGTTAGCTCTCTCAAGCTAAGTTTATAGGAAATTTCTAGTGTTTTCAAAATGATTCAGGCAGCTGTTTCTCCAAGTTGCAAAAATTCATCTAGCTATTTCACAATAGGACATTACCTTAACCTTATACAGTTTGCATATCCCTTATCCAAAATTCTTAAGACTTTTGGATTTCTGATTTGTTTGCATACACATAAGGACAAGGAATATTTGCATATAATGAGACATCTTGGGGATAGGACCCAAGTCTAAACACAAAATCCATTTATGTTTCATATTTACTTTATACGCACAGCCCTAAGATAATTTTATCCAGTATTTTGGGGGTGTCTTTGTTTTGACTGTGATGGCACAAAGGGTCAGGTGTGAAATTTTCCACTTGTGTATTCCTGTTGGTGCTCAAGAAGTTTCAGGTTTTGGAACTTTCCAGGTTAAAAAATGCTCAACCCAGCCGGGCATGGTGGTGCACGCCTGTCATCCCAGAACTTGGGAGGCTGAGGCAGGAGGATCGCTGTGAATTCGAGACCAGCCTGAACTACATAATGAGTTCCTGGTCGGTCTCAGTTATATAGTGAGACCCTGTCTCAAAAAAACCACACACACACACACAAAAAAAACCCAAACAAACAAAAAAAACCCCACAAAAAACAAAAAATGCTCAACCCACACAACCATAACATATATTCTGAGGTAGCATATATAACAAGAGGATGGTTATAAAGACGTGCTTCCTGATGAGATTCTATCTCCTCAAGTCTCCTTATGGATCTTGTTTCAATTCTTTCTTATCTAATAGCAACCCGTTCTCACCACAAGGATGGCTACCCTTAGGTTTTAAGGCCCTTAGGCATGACGTGTAAGTTCAGAGCACTATTTCTCTTCCTTCCTTAACTAACATTTTAAGAAAATCTATTTTCTTTGTTTTAATTTATTTTATTTATTTTGTAATACTGTAGATTGAGCGCAGGACCTGGTGCATACTAAGCAGGTGCTGCATCACTGAGCTACACCCCCAGCCCTCTACTTCTATTTCTAGCCCCTTGTAGCTATGCTCTACCTCCATCTGACACCCTTAATTCTGATCCCTTAACTGACTCTTTTCAAGGAGGGACCCACCTGGCCTCCTCGCTCCCTTGATCTCTGTGATATACTCTTCCCCGGTTCTCTTCCTACCATTGAATGGTTCTGAGTCCCCTTGGCAATGGCTCTTCCCTCTCAGCCTGTCCCTAACCCTGCATTCCCTGTCTCCGTCCTCCTCCTCCTCCTCGTCACTCCTCAGCAATGGCTCCCCTCTCAGCCTGTCCCTAACCCTGCATTCCCTGTCTCCGTCCTCCTCCTCCTCCTCGTCACTCCTCAGGGAAGCCTCTCCAAATCCTCTCCTTGACACCTTAACCACCGTGGGATATGAGCTCCTCCAGGGCTTTATGTTTCCCTGGGGACTCTTGAACACTGTGAGATGATAAGTGACTCAGCAAACTGACATTTTATAAAGATGAGTCTGGGCGTGGCGTGGAGGTGTGGCTGGACTGTGCAGAGTTTAGAGGTAGGGAAATGAGAAGAAGACAGGAGTATAAACACAAAATGACGATACAGTAGTCTCCACTTGTCTGAGGTTCTGCTGTCTGAGATTCCAGTTACCTGATGCCAGCTATGGTCTGGAAATGTTAATATTTGTCTTGACTCTTTCTGGAGAGAGATTGCATTTATATAACTTTTATTATGTTATAGTATTAAAATTGTTTGTTTTATTGTCATTAATCTCTTACTATACCTAATTTATAAATTGAACTTTATTATAGGCATATATGTATAGAAAAACCAGAATATAGGCTTTGTCACTGTGTATGGTCTCAGACACCCAGTGGGGGTCTTGGAATTATCACTTATAGATAAAGGGGTACTACCATATCCTGAATTATCACCTCCACAATGGAAGGAAGAAAAGCAAGGAAAAACATTTCAGAGGCACTGTTTACTGACAGGATGGAGGGACAGACCTGAGTCAAAGGGTTCAAGCTCCAGAGTTGAGAAAAGTAATAACACAATGAACAGAAATGGGTAAGGATCAGGTAAAGAAATAAGGTGTGAGGTATAGGAAGCACTCTGCTTTGAATATGGGACGTCAAAGCAGAGGTTGCCTCTAGGCATTTGAAGATTGGGCTGAGAAATCCAGATTGAGACTATAGATACAATAGGGAATTATTTCCAGAAATGTTATCACGAAACATACTAAAGTTGATGGACGTATGCACTAGGTAGCTAATATTTGCTGAATAAATTGAATCTGTTTGTATTCTTTTTCAAGTACCCAGCCCAAGTACCAGAACACTCAAGACATTCACAGATACTCCATGATACCTCCTTGTCCCCCATGAGTAACCCCTAGCTGTTACTTTCTTGGTTCTACTTCTACACTGCTTCTATATCACCAATAATGTGACCTCTCAACTAACGGGCCCCCGCTGATGCTCTAAACTTCTCGGAAGGCATCTAGTGTTAACCTACTGTTGAATACTCCAGAAAGGTTTTCTTTGTTGTCATTGTTCCAGAGACAGGGTCTCTCAGTCCAGGCTGGCCTGAAACTCCAGATGCCCCTGCCTCAGCCTCCCTGTGTGCTGGGATGACAGGTGGGTACCGCCTCACTCAGCTCTCCAGAACAGGTTTTCTAAACAAAACCTTTTCCATTTTTCTGAGCCTCCAATCTGATCTCCTTTCCTTAGCCTTAACCTTTGCTCTCAGCAATTACCTTGCTTCATAATTTACTTACAGCATCTTGGCCATTTAGTTCATCTTAGGGTTTCCAACCCCAATTTTCCTTTATTTCCCCTACACCCCTCTCCCCTTCCCTATTGTTTTTTCCAAGGCTTTATCTTATGCGCCTTTGGCATGTTTTTTCCCCCTCTAGGACCTTATTTCTTGACTTTCTTTTCTCTAACATCTCTCCTCTAGGCACTCTCTTCCTTTGGCCTACAGACATATCCAAGTCTCCCTTATCTTTAAAAAATTATTTCCTTTACTTCGATTCTCTTGAAGATACCATTTTATCTTTTTCTTTGTTGTTATTAGTAAGTTATATAAACTTTACAACTATGTGTAGTCTATGTAGTCACTTGAATTATTGCTTTATTTTATTTAGGTTAATGTATAATTGTGTCACAGTCTCTATAATGTCATTTTCTGTAGGTCAGACTTTTTTTTGTTTTGTTTTGGTTTTGGCTTTCGTTTCTCGTGACAGGATCTCTCTTTAAGTTAATAAGTGGCCCAGGCTTCGCTCAAACTTGCCATCCTCCTGTCTCAGCCTCTCAGAGTGCTAAGACTGCAAATATGTCCCACCACAACTAGCAGTACACCAGAAATCATTTGATAAATTAATCACAAATCATTTTTAGTATTCAAGAAATAGTTCTTTGGAATACTGACTTCTGAAAAACAACAGATAATATATTACTTTGCCATTTCATGTTCACAAGGAGTTAAAATTATCAATGCACTTAGAGCTGTCATGTGGTTGTTACCTCTTAGTCATAAGGCAGGATTTTCTGATGGCTACGACAATAGCAATTATACTCATTTAAGGATGTAACCAAGAGTCTTGGGCAATCTTTATGACAGTAAGTATAGATGTAGATCTGAGAAGCGGACAGTCAAGTTTGAAGCTTAGACGGTGCCATGAAAAGACTACCTCTTTCTGTTATTAATTTAAATACAATCAATGTCACTTCGTAAAATAGATTTGTCTTGTGTTTGGAACTTTCTGGCAGTCACGATCTCAGTGCCTTCTATGCTGTTCATATGCCTGCATTTCTCTTTCTAGCCTAAAAAGCTGCCTGTCTGCCACGTTCTGCAGTAGCTGCCTTTCTAATTGTCAATGAAGTTAGATAACATACCCAAAAGCTGTGTTAAGTACTATACTTGGAACTAAGAGCTAAATAATGAAATATTTAAAACAAATTAATTTTTATAAACAACTTTTAGAAAAAGTTATTTTTATACTTTTACAGGAACAAAATATGTATTTTATGGAATCACAGCAAAATAAAGGCCTCAGAACTAGCAAACTGCTGAAAAATATTGAGAGATGTGATTTGGAATAAAGCAAATTTATTTTTTACAATTGTTACAATATAAACATTAAATTTTAAAATTCCCTAGCAACTGCTAAGTATAAAGCACTTTTCCAGGCACTGAATTTAAGAATAAAAAGTCATAATGGCTCAGTTGAAAGGTATCCCAAACTTTATATGTATTCTGTATTATTATTTTCATTTTATACATAATAAAGGTGCAAAGAAGTTGTCCACAGTCCCATAGCATGCAAGAAAAAGAGATGGGAGTCAAATTCATACTGATTACCTGTCAAAATATGTTTGTTCAAGTGTTTCCGAGAGCTTTGTACACAACAGCATTCTAGTAGCTTGGGACGTATCAGGGAAGAAAACAGAAGAAGATCCCTGCCCTTGAGCTGCCTACTTTTCCAGAGGGCTGGGCCCAGCCAAACCCTGCTGTGCCCCATCCCATCCTAGTCTCTGGAGAAAGTAGGCAAAGCTGTCAGAATGGACTCCAACGTGTTTCTAGTGGTTGTGATAGCAACAGGATTATTGCAGCCAGAAAACATTTTCTAGAGCTGTAAACAGATGGACTGACTACAAGCTCCTTCGAGCTCTAAAAGTGAAGGCCACAAAGCTAGGAATGTAGCTTAGTAAAAAAACATTTTTTTTTTTTTAAAATTTGAGGAGGGGCTAAGGATGTAGTTCAGTGGGTAGAGCTTTAGTTAGCAGGACCCTGGGTTCAATCGCCTACCCTGCCAAAAACTAAAAAGTAAATTTAAAAAAGCGAAGCTTGCAGTGGGGGCTGAGAGGGGAGGGACTGCTAACCACTGAGTGATCATATTTGGGAAACTTACAAGAATAGAAGTTTCATTTCCCTTCCATGCCAGGTTATTAAAGATTTGGGTAAATTCTATTCTATCAAATAGGAGAAGAATCCCTTCTTCACTAGCCAACCCTGTAATATCTAAGAATGACCAATCACATTACAGAAATAAGAGGCTATTGCACAAAGTGAACAGTCTTGGATTGTAAGACTGGGATTTAAATAACCATTTGTCATATAAAGCTGTGGAAAACTGATTTTCATTAAAAAATAGAGACATATTCCAGATTCACAGATATTTATACATGAATTCTAGCAAAACTTCATGGTTTGTAGGCATATATTATAAAATAATATTTATTCTAGAAATCACAATGCTATAGAAAGCTTTATTATTCATTGTACGTAATTCATATAGCATTGATATAAAAACTTGGATACATAGCACACACAAAAAAGAAAATCACATTCAAATATAATTTATTAAAACAAGATACAAAAAAAATCAGCTATCAATCCTAGTAATATATCAACAGAATAACAAACACTAACAAAATGAGCTTTTTTCCGTAATATACATATGGTAAGATATTAGGAGAATGATAAATTAGAATCATCACATGATAGATCAAAAGATTAAAACTGTAACATAGCTTTGAGAAAAGTAAACTTGATAAAAGCCAGTATTTGTTCCTGGTTTGTTAAAAAATCCAAAGTGTCCAATGAAGAGAAGATGAGGAATAAACCTAATCAAGCAAGACATGATTAAAGCATTTCAAACAACATTAAAACTTTCGCTACATTTTCATGAAAACTGCAACAATCAAAAATCTTCAGTATCATTGCTATTATTTATATTCAGAAAGCTAGCCAATAAGAAAGATAGCTAGACATAATGGCACACAACTGTACTCCCAGCTGCTCAGGAGGCTGAGGCAGCAGAGTCTCAAGTTTAACGTCAGCCTGAGTAATTTGGTGAGACTGTCACAAAATAAAATTTTAAAAGAGCTTGAGATGTATCTCAGCGCTTCCCGAGTTTAAATCCCAGTAGGGTATTTTTTTAAAAAAAGATAAATAAGAGAGTCAGGGATTTATCTCAGTGGTTCCACCATGCCTCACAAGTTCAAAGTCCCAAGTTCAATCCCCGGTACCACCTCCCCCCAAAAAGATAAATAAGAAATATAGATATTAGAAAGTATAGATATTGAGCTGGGCATGTTGGGCATGGTGGCAGCAGCCTGTAATCCTGGTGACTCAGGAGGCTGAAGCAGAATGAAAGCAAGTTTGAGGACAGCCTGCATGACTTGCTGACTTGTTTCAAATAATCAAATAGTATGAGGGTATATATAGCTCAGCAGTAGAGCATTTGCTTAGCACGTATAAAGCCCTGGGTTCAATTCCTCAACACACACACACACACACACACACACACACACACATTTTTTTTTGACATAACTATTTTTATTTATTTATTTTCTGGCCCTTACATGCATACGTTTCTTTTTTTTTTTCTCATTGCGTTTATTGGTACATTTTAGGGATACAGTACAGTTACATTCATCATTGGGATCTTGTACCTTCACATGACAGGTCTTGGTTCTCATCCCCCACCCCTTTACAAACACTTCATTTCTTTTTTTTTCATTTTCTCCTATTTTTTTCTTTTCCCTTATTCCCTTTCCCCTACCCTTCCCACTTCCCCTACACCTTTAGCCCCTTTCTTCCTATTTCACATTGTCAATTACCTCATTAGGATCTTATGTACTATTATAGTTTATTCACACACCATAACCATTAAACGTAGTAGATGAAATTTATCATTATAGATGATCTACCTGTCTGGCTGAAAAACCTAGAGTCAGTGAAGAAAACTATTTCTCCCAGTAAGAGAGTTCAGAAACATGTTTTGTACAGGGTCACTTTCCTGTACCATGTGGAAAAGGTAGGAGAAAAAAAGACCTTACTTAAAAGGGCCTGGCAGGCCTTTTCACATGTTCTTTCTTCAGCTTCCAACACTTCCCCTAAATCTTGCCGCTTGCCACTTTCTTATCATTTATTCGTCATCAACTTCCTGTTCTGTCGAAAGACCCTTACCTACTCCAGGCCTTAGTAAGACAGCGGTAGCACGCAACGTTTCCGTGGTGCGGGCTGCAGGGATGTGTGTTGCTTGCATGTTTACTTTTCCTTCTGGCGGAGCAGTACACAGACAGTTTCCCTGCGATTAGTTGAGTCCCAGCCAACTTGGCAGGGGCCAGTGCCGCTTGGAGGGCAAGGGAAACCTCTCAAGCACAACTCTATTCCCCTCTCCTCTTTCCATCAATTAAATCAAGACTCCAGAGGCCCAGAGGCCCAGGAACCCGAGATCAAAGTAAACGTGCAGGAGCCTCCTCCACAGGAGCCTCCTCCAGCGTCTAAGGCTCAGGTTCAGAGAGGACTGAGCCGGGAGCCGCCCATCCAGGAACTCCCACGTGGGCCTGTTGCTGGCGCGGGAGACAAGTTCATTGCTTTCAGGTAAGAATGGAAGAATACGTTTTTAAGATGTGTCAAATATGGCATATGACAAGCACTAAGTAGTTTTTATAACTGCATTTTTACATGAGAAAATAGGGATGTAGTGATATTAATACAGTTTGCCAAGATTTCTGAAGTGTTGGAGTCAGTATGATTTTGGAGTCCACGCTCTTTACCAGTAGGCTGTACCACCTCGTCAGAGGGAGAACAGGTTTTTTGGGGGAGTGGGGGCGGGTACGAGGTCCAACTCAGGACCTTCAGTTTGCTGGGCAGGCAGCTGCACCACTGAACTAAATCCCAGGTCAAGGAAGAACAAACAGTTTTTAAAAAGAGGAGTAAGGAAAAGGATCTTCCTTACCTTACTAGAACCAAAACATATACATCTTTAAAAACAGAAAAAAAGAAGCACAAAGATAGATACATAGATCAATAGAGCAGAACCACACATAAACTCAAAACAATATGCCAGAAGGGTTTATTTTATTTTAAAATTTATTTAATTACTTATTTCTCTCCCCCCCCCACCCCTTTTAGTACTGGGGATCTAGCTCAGGACCCTTATGCTTGCGAGGCAGGAGGTGAAACCACTGAGCTAAATCCCTGGCCCAGTTTTTTTGTTTTTTGAGATAGTCATACTGTGCAGTGCAGGTCTTCAACACATGGCAATCCTTCTGCCTCAGCCTCTTGAGCTCTGGGATCACAGATGCGCGCCATTATGCCTAGTTCCAAAGGATTTGTTTTACAAAAGGGCAAAGCAATATAGCAAAGGACAATCTTTTCCTGTTTTTTTGTTTTTGTTTGTGTGTTTGTTTTTGAGACAAGATCTTACTAGTAGTTGAGACTGACCTGGAACTCACTATGTAGCCCAGGCTGGTCTCAAATTCACAGTGATCCTCCTGCCTCAGCCTCCCGAGTGCTGGGATTACAGGTGTGCACCACCACGCCCAGCTGACAATCTTTTCAATGTATGGTGGTGGAGTAGTTTGACAGCCATAGGCAAAATAAATGAACCTCAACCTACATTTCACACCTCATAAAAAAATTAACTCAGTGTGGATCATGTCTTAAATGTAAAAGACAGAACTATACCATTTTTAGAAAAAGAAAAAAATCTTCAGGATCTAGGATTAGGCAGAGTTCTGTCTTGATATCAATCAAAATCCATAAAAGGAAAAACTAATGAGTTGGACTTAACGTTAAACACTTCTGTTCCACTGATAACCCAGTTAAGATGATGAAAAAAGAAGTTATGGACTGGGAGAACATAATTACAAACCACACATTCACCAAGGGGGTCGTGTCTGTCTACTTTTGGGCCCTGTAGCAGTAGAGCTGGCTCCAGAGTTGCTGAGAAAAGGGAAAAGATGTAGCTGGAAGTGACCTGAGGCAATGAGGTGAAGGAGATAAGAGAGGAGGGAGAGTTCAGGCTGAGCCCTGTGTATCAAGCTGCAGCCAGAGGATCTTAAATTCTTCTCAGTGGGGAGGGGCTGCTCACCACCTGCAGAAGACTCAAGACCAAAGCCATGGCTTTATATGTGCCAAGTCACACTATGCTGCTAAACAACCAGCCAGCGGGGTATTTTAAAAATATTCCCTGTTGCAATCATAATTATTGCTCATTAAAGAAAATGTAGAAATTTTAAACAATCAGTTTGCTACCCAAATGCTATATAGCACTGCTAATCTTTTCGTGTTAAATGTTCCTCTAGACATTTCTGCGCATAATTTTTGGTGTGTTTACATAGTTGTTATTCTACTATACATACAATTTTATGTCCCTTTTGTAATTAACATAAACATTTTTTCCATATTACCAGTCTTTAAAAAAAAATTTTTGCAGTTGGGAGGCTGAGTCAGGAAAATCTCAAATTTGAGACTAGCCAGCTATGTAGCAAGACCCCATCTTTTAAAAAAACAAAAAGCTAAAAATACATTCCAGCAGTTTCACTTATGGACATTTATCCTGGAGAGACAAAAACTCAATTTCACACAAAAACCTACACACAATTTGTTTATAGCTTTACCTATAATAACTCCAAACTAGAAACAACCCATACGCCTTTCAACAGGTGAATGGTTAAACAAACTCTGATCTATCCATACCATGAAATACTCCTCAGCAATAAAAGGGACAACTGGATGGATCCCAAGAGAATTGAGTTGAAAAATATTCTCAAAAGTTTACATACTTTATGATCCATTCATACAACAATCTTAAAAATCACACACACACCCACACACACAACTGGGCATAATATTTTATGACTATAATCCCAGAACTCTGGGAGGCTGAGGCAGGAAGATCACAACTTGGAGCCCAGCCTGGGCAATTTAGCAACTTAGTGAGAGCCTGTCTCAAAATGAAAAGGTTGGGAATGCAGTTCAGGGCTTTTGGATTTAATCCCTAGCTGGGAGTGGGGGGCAAAGAGATGGAGAACAGTTTTTAGCTTTTGCAAGAGTTAGGATTGGTTAGGACTGGGTAGAGGGAGGAGAGATGATGATGGGACAAGCCTGTGTTGTGTTTTTGTACTGAGGATTTTGTGCACGGTCTCTCACCTAGGTTCTCCCCGTTCATTCCCGCATTCATTTATGTAACACAGAGTCTCACTAAGTCACTAAATTGGCCATGTTTGGTTCAAACTTTCAATCTGTTCTCAGCCTCCCAGCATGCTGGGACTTCAGGTGAGAGCCACCACACCCAGCTTGTAATTTTACTGTGATTACGTGACTCTACTATGTACTGAAACCGTGTAGAACTTTTATATAAACACATGAGTGTGTGTAAAATTTAGCATCTGAATAAATGGGATGAATTGTATTCATGTCAATTTTCTGGGTATTGTATTATAGTTATGGGAAATGTTATCATTGGGGGAAAGATACAGATTATAAATTATAGGTTATAATTATTTAAAAATAATTCATGGAAAAATAATTAGTGGAAGCTAATAAAATGAAATTTTAGGATACCTGGTATGTCAGACCTTTATCAGAACTACCTGGGATGCTCTTTCCAATAAATAACAGGACATTTTAATTTTTAAACAACACTATGGGGGACATATTAAGTTTATGTCCTATCTAGAATGAAAATTTTCTCTGGGTGAAATGGTAGATACCTGCAATCCTAGCACTCTAGGAGGCTGAGGCAGAAGGATCACAAGTCTGAGCCCTCAACAAGAATATATCTCATCGCCAGGCGTGGTGGTGCACGCCTGTAATCCCAGCACTCAGGAGGCTGAGGCAGGAGGATCGCTGTGAGTTCGAGATCAACCTGGGCTTCATAGTGAGTTCCAGGTCAGTCTCAACCACATAGTGAGACCCTGTCTCAAAAAACCAAAACCCAAAAAAAAAAAAAAAAAAAAAAAAAAAAAAAAAGAATCTATCTCAAAATAAAAAAGGTCTAGGGGGTGTAGCTTAGGGTGAAAGCTCTGGGTTCAACCCCCAGTACTGAAGAAAAAAAAAGTGGGAGAATTTTTTCCATTCTAAATTATAGCCATTATGCCATCATGAACTCTTTACTTTTCTAGCACAGACAGAAATAGTTTGTCTTTAGCAATGGATGCCTACAAAGCAACACCACTTTTCCAGTTTGATCACAACTTCCGTAGGTCTCATGAACACAAGCGAATATCACTTTTGCTTTCAATTTTTTTCTATTAAATTATAATTAACAATTTCAAGGCTGGGCGTGGTGGTGCATGCCTTGTAATCCTAGCATTCAGGAGGCTGAGGCAGGAGGATCACTGTGAGTTTGAGACCAGCCTGGGCTACATAGTGAGTTCCAGGTCAGTCTCATCTACATAGTGAGACCCTGTCTCAAAAAACCAAAAAAACAAAACAAAATAACAATTTCATACAAAAAAGAAAATGTTGAAAAAATATTGCTCTGTAAATGAACTTGATCATTAAATCCAAAGATCATTGAGCATTGATAATAAACTTCTCAGGGCTTGGGATTTAGCTCAGTGGTTCTGCCTCCTGCCTCACAAGTGCAAGGTCCCAAGTTTGATCCCTGGTTAAAAAAAAAAAAAAAAAAAAAAAAAAAAAAAAAGATAATAAACATCTCAGTCTTCTAAAATTTTTGTTTTGTTTTATTTTTTTGAGACAGGGTCTCACTATGTAGTTGAGACCGACCTGGAACTCACTATGTAGCTCAGGCTGATCTTGAACTCACAGTGATCCTCCTGCCTCAGCCTCCTGAGTGCTGGGATTACAGGCATGCACTACCACGCCCAGCCTAAATATTTGTTTTTAAGGGAATGTTCATATTTCCTTTCAGAGACTGCTAACCGAGTGCTCTCTCCAGCAGTGCTCAGGAGGCTTGCTACCAGTAGCACTGTCAAACGTGGTCATTGTTTTGATTCACTTTCCTACCAATAGTGGGACTGGTCACGTCTCTTCTCAATGTCCTGAAAGACTTCGACTTTTCAGTGTTGCTGTTCACTTTAACTTGCCTTTACCTTTTCAAATGCTGGACGGGTGCAGTGTAACAAGATCTACGCCCAGGGCCGGGGATTTAGTTTAGTGGCATATGTCACACCTTCCTTGCAAGTGCAAGGTCCTGAGTTCAATCCCTGGTACAAAAAAACCCAAGATCTAGCCCCCTGTCTCTCTGTCAGTTGTCCCCGGCTCAGGCCCTCAAAGTGACAGATCCAGTCCCAGTTCACCTCTCTGTCTGGCGTGTCAGTGCCTTCGCCTCCTCCAGACTCACTCAGACTCTCCTCTGGCACTGTGCCTCTGCAGCAGCAGCAGCAACGCTCATGGCTCCTTTCCTTTTCTAGGGAGGTCCTGGATCAGGTGACTCTTCCCTCCTACTCACTTCGAAAGTAAGATTCGCTGAGACTCGAGGTCTGTGAAGTATTTATTCTCTGTCTTCACCAGGATTTAGCTATCCAACAGAAAGTGTGTTCTCTCTGTTTCAACAAAGTAGCAAGCTTCAGTTTAGCCTGAACTTTGTTTCTCTGGCTTTTGAAGGGCTGCAGGCTCACAAATTATTA